GTAGAAATGGAAGAGCAAGTTGTCGAAGACCACAGGGCTGTCTTTCAGGTAAAAGACGGAGTTCTGCATTGTCTGCGTTGTAATCCAGGAATTCAGGTTTCCCCAAGAAAGAGACATACTCTTAAGATACAGGATAACATCTGGTAATTCTGCTGCAGTCAGAGATTTCTAAGCTCATCATAGCAAACAAGCAGAAACCAGTTTAGAGCCATAACCACCACTCTTTGTCCTAGTGGTGAAAGAGAAGCATATTTTTTGTCATCCCAGAAATTTACTAAAATTTTCCTTTTCGTCTCACAAACTTTCTAACTAGATTGTATTCATAATAAGAAAAGTTCCTATTTTTTCTTTTACTACTGAGATATTTTCTGTTTTAGTCCTTTACCAGCGTTAGTGGCTGTGTTTTGTAGTTGCAGGGAGCTTTCTCAGATTGGTCTTGAATTTTCAATTTCACTATCTAATCTATGACAGTGTTCCTATGCCAAAGCGGGCAATTAGCAGTACTGTTTCCATCCACACCATTTCTGTTGACAGTATGCTCATCTCCCTCTGAGAGACTGTCTTTGCCTGGAAGACACAAAAGTATTTCTAACTGCCTGTTTGCTTGCTTTGTAGAAACGTAAGTCAAGATTTCCTCTTGCTACTAGTCAGGGTCTTGAGAAGGACTACTGACAACACAGTGCAATGCTGGTTAGCACCTTGAATCCCTTCACATTCACAGAATAAGTTCTAATAGAAATAAGTATGAATTAGTAGCCTTCAGAAGGAAATGCAAGTTGCTTCTATTTGTAACCTTAGAGTCTTCAGGCAGGCTGTCCATTTGGCATGTCTGCTGCAAGAGAACAGCAGAACATTAAACCTGTAGGGAATACACACATCTCCTCAATTAAGGCATCTAACTCAGTTGAACATGGATGTGTTTTTATGTAATACAGTAGGGTGCTAAATAGCACATTTTAGAACAGATGTAGAGCTTTAGTTATTATAAAACACTAGCTCTGAGGTAGAATGTGCAACAGTGTAAAAGTCATATGCCATATGCTGTAGCTGTGTCCTAAAGCTTACAACCTCTGGAGAGACAAGCTGCATGAGTTTGATGTTACTGCCTGTCTGTGTCCATCTGGCCTTCTGCTGGAGATTGCAGGTCCTCACAGCAATCAGCAGCAGGAAATGTGCCCAAGGCTCAGCTCCCTTTGTTCAAAGCGTAGCTTGTTTATTCTGTGGGTGAAGGTGGGCTGCACCAATACACAGTCTATGAGCTGTAGCAGGCAGAAGTTCTTATCATGACAAAAATGTCTTGAAAGAGGTTAATAATGCTCTAGAGATGCTTGTCTTTCCTTGATTTTTAGATGTATATGTTTACATTAAATGAGATGAATCCTATGCCAATGTGAACTCCACCTGTCCTGAGAGACAAAAAACATACATGGGGTTTGGACTATGCTTTTAATATTACTTCGGTTACTGAGCACAGAGGGAAGGACTTAATTTTAGTATTTCAGGCCTAACACGCACAGAATTCTGTCAGCTGCTTTCTCTTTCTAAATCAAGGCATATCTAACAGTATCTGTTCTCCTGATCATAGCTTTGCATCAGTCTGTAAGCTTTAAGCTCCCACTTATGTTTTTATTTGCTGCAAGACTTTTTTTTTTCTTTTTCTTAGCTGGGGTTAACCAGTGGCTTTTTCTTGTTTTTATTTTTTGGTAACATTCAGAGTGCAAAGGTGCCCAAGAAAGAGCTGGTTTAGCTAATCTTTACAGTATTCTGCTTGTGTGGGGAGTTAGAAGAGAGGGCTTAAAATAGGTCTTCTTTTATACAGCTTCTCTCAAAGCTAGTTTTGAGTATAAACAGAATAACCTTGGCTGCTGTGCTGTAGTAGTGAGCCTGTGATCATCGTCAGTGGCAACCAGTCCATACTCAAAACTGAAACCTAACTTCAGAGTTTAGTACCTGCCTAACGGGACATAACAGTGACATAATGTTCTGTTCCCTGGGTTTCTTAGTCTTGCATTCAGTATTCTAAATGTTACCTAATGTTCTAAATTTGAAGAGAAGTGGGATAGCTGGGGTTAACCTGTGGCTGATACAGCCATTGGAATTAAGAAACTATGTGGAAAACAAAGGAGTATGCTGAATACTTGTAGGTAGAAAGCATACTAGTTTGCTGAGTTAGGAACAAGGATTTGTTTTAGGATTGGAATCTCTTACAGTGTAGTGAGTAGACAGTAAAAGCAAAGTCATCTTGAAAAGAGGAGTAATTCTGTTTGTTTTGAAATTTATACCTTTGTAAATGTATTTAGTTGTTTTTTTAACTTTTGTCTAGGAATCTATTAGATGGCTGGAAGATGAAAAAGCTCTTCTTGAGATGACAGAAGAAGTAGACTATGATGTGGATTCTTATGCTACCCAACTTGAAGCAATTCTAGAGCAAAAAATTGATATTCTGACTGAACTTCGAGGTAGACTGATTTTAATCACTTTTGTATGCATTATTAGCAAAAGAGTATGGTTATATTTTCCCCTATGCTGCCCTGTAACGTCCTGGAAGGAGCAGTTGCTCTGCTGCCTAAGAGCAAGTTCACATGTTTGTTCAGTTCATCCTAGTTTAAAGAAAAAGCCTCTGCTTTACCTCCAGGAAGTACAAACTTGATCCTGCAGCTTTCTTTTTCTTTTGCTTTGTTAAAAAACAATAAAGGATGGAAAAAGAAAAGCCAAAAGGATTGTAGAAAAAAAAAAAGGGAGGAAGGGAAAAAAAAGAAAAAGTAAAGCAACAAGGAACAGGTAGTAGCAAGTCCGAGTTCCTGCTGTGTGGCGCTCCGTAACGCGCCCGGGAACCTCTTGTCATTTTTCAGTCTGTGTGTTTAGAGTTGTATCGAGCTCTTAATAGAGAAAGGTTATTAGCATACCTTTTTCCTCATCAGCCTTCCTGCCTGCATTTTGTCAGCCTCTCTTTGGTAAAAAAAAAAAAACAAAACACAAATAATTTTTAGTGCCCAAAGTTAACTCTTTAGGATGTCTTCTAAAGTCAGTTTGTCAGCTTAGTACCCCATTAAGATGAATGGGGGTATATGGAGTCTTCCTTTTTGATTTTATATTCCGTATCTCCTTGGACTCCAGCACGTATGCTATATTGATAAAAATTGAAAGGGTTGTGAGTTTAGATTTGTGTGTTTTTGTTTTTGTTGGAGCCAAGTTAGAAAGCACCTTAAAAGATAAAATCCTATATTATACTCAGTTGGAGTATCTGCTGTAGATTACAAGAATACTTCAAGCAAATTGGATGTGGCTTGCTTAACCTGTAAGTGTATACTGGCCACCATATACTGTAGCAAAGAACTGGAGGTACTTTCTTTTGCTTTTTATGAACTAGATGATGGATTCCACTTCACAATAAGACAATTTGAGAAACCAGCAGTGACAAAACACCGGTTTGACTGCCTGATTTTTAAAAGTTATTAGATACTGCTTTTGAAAAAAGGTACTGGAGGCAAAGGCTGTTTAGGAGAACCTTGCTTCTTTACAGTTGGTGTGATGCATACACAGCTTTACAGGAGAGAAGAACTATTAAGTCGAAGATTCTTTTGCCCAGCAACATTTGTGTTCTGTACATGGCACATAATGATCGCTGAGTATTTCAGCTTCTATTTGTGTCGTTTTGGGACTGATTCCTTTACGGTTTCATTTTTGTTTCATTCTTGGGCCTATTACAGGGGAATAGGAAGGAGAGGAATAGAAATATGAAAGAATGCCATGCTTCCTTCCTCAGGTTTCTCTTTGTGTTAGGAATAGTACATTTATCTATTTATAGTGAATAGCTTCAAAAATTGCATCATGATTGCTTTTCTACATTCATGGTAAAATATGGGAGAAGAGAATTTACTCTGCTGGGTTTTAGAACGTATAGAAGTGACTGACTGTACACCTAATTTTTATACAATTTTGGATGCCTTTAAGGGTGGTTTTGGAAGCTGCTGGGAAGAAGGAGGAAGTATGCTGTGTACTCTGTAAGTTAGAAGCAGAATGTAAGTGTGAACAAGTACATGCTGGGAATGCAACTGTGCAGTTTCTAAATCTATCCTGCCTAGAGACAGGAGAAGCATCTAGGAAGGGACTAAGTTGCTAAGCAACTTGTTTGCATGGTGAGTATTGAATTTAAGCTTATCTCAGTCCTCTTGTAGGTTTGTAGCCTCAGCTTTTTTTTGTGGAGGAGTGTTCTTTGTTGTGCATTAGGGCAGGGATGTGGAGCATCAATGCTTAGTTGCAAGATCTGTGTTGAGCACAAGCACATCAGTACTCATTCTCTCTTTTTCATTAAAGATAAAGTGAAATCTTTCCGGGCAGCTCTACAAGAGGAGGAACAGGCCAGTAAACAGATCAATCCGAAAAGACCGCGTGCCCTTTGAAACGGGCCCTTGCTGCTAAAGGAATCCACGAACCTGTACTGCTGTAGCACACATTTGTTGCAAAACCCAGTGGCCCTAAGAACTCAACTACTTGAAAGCGTAAAAACTTTAGAAATGTCTGTGGAAATGTCCTGTTTCTTATTCACCTGAATGACATTTTCAGTTTTGTGTGAAATGCTCCTATGATGTCTACAAAATGCTTCTAGACCAGACAGCACAACCATGCAGGGTTCAGATCTGTGAAGCACTTTGTTTAAAATATTTCATTTATTCAAATTGTGAATTTTATGTTTTGGAAATATTTGCCATGTTTTTAATAATGAAGTAAAACTGTGGCCATTACAAATGTCACAGTATTTCCTTTTAACTGTGTTCAGTTTTGTTACAAAGACCAGCTGTGCAGTTTTAAATTGTGTTTGCATGCATGCACACCTCACTAGTGGTTGTACATAACTTCTCTTCTACAGACAGCTGTGCTCACCTCTTCCCATTCTGTGCCTTGATGAAGGCTACTTAACCCTAAACATCCTCTTTCTGAAGCACAGCCTTAATAAACAACATTCCTTACTTGTCAATGTAAATTACTTTTACTGTGTGTACATTTTTAATGTGTTTTGAGACTTTTTTTTTTTGGTGGCTAGTTCATTTCACAGGATGTGCCATATCATTAGAACAGGAACCGCAAGAGCTGTTAGAGTGGACAAACAGCTGGACATTCCATCCTCCTTGTAAAAATCTGGAATCTAGATTTATTTGAATACCATAAAGAGTGGCTATATAATTCTAACATTTTCTCTGTAAAAAAACAAAAAACAAAAAAACAGAAATATAAATTAGTTGATGTATAATAAAGGGTAATGTTTAAGTATTGAGGAGAGTTGTATCTTAGGATAATGCAGATATACAGTATGTGGTATAGTGTGATAATGCTGTCAGAATAAAGGTGCAGTCTGACCTCTACATATGGATAGGATAACTGTCGAAGTTCCGGGATCCAGCTGAAGAAATACATAGTACCCTTTTACATACTGTTAAAATTTGGCTTTTGATGCATGACAAACTTACATGTACATTAACTGTAGCTTGCAGGTAGCTGAGTAGTTCTGTTGCTTTAAAGAAAGTAGCTAATACCTATTTTACCCTTTGTACAGTGCCAGCAGCTGAAAAGTGGGGTGAAACTGCATCATTTGAGGATTTGCACAATACCTCTATCTAGTGCTAATAGAAAGCCCATAAGTACCTGAATTCTCACAAACGGCGCCGTGTGTTATCGGCACTTTTTAGGTGGTGGCACTCAAGTTATTTTTGCAAATTAATATCCAAAAAAAGATTGACCTTTCCTGTAAGAACTTCTTGTCAAGTGAAGTATTGTAGACCTCTCTAGGAGTTCTCCCTGTTTCCAGAAGTTTATATCAGCAGTCTTTCCCTTGCAACTGTTTAAAAAATCACTCTTGGAATACAAGCCGGTTTGTGCCAGGGCTGGAGGGAAATATAGGGAAGGCAATGAAAAGAGAGTTAAATGAGCCAGGAATTCTCGTACTGTTTAATGTTTGTATCTCCCATAGGAAGGTAGGCTATGGGAAGCTTTTGTCGCATCATGGTTTAAAAAAAAAAAATCCTCCTATATGTAAACATGAAACCTGAAACAACAATGTAGATTTTACACAATGTGTTTAATAAATTAAGCTATTAAATGAATTACAGATGAGAATTTACTTCTATGCAAGTTATATTTTGCTTTGGGAAGGTTTTTACTTTATAAACATGTCTGAGTTGTTATGTTTTGAAAAATATTTCAGAGGCCTCTGATTTCAGAATGATTATTTGCTTTTGGAAATGACCATTCTGTGCAAGCTCGTAATATAGGAATAAGTTCCCTGAAGCATTTTCCTGACCTTAGTTTTAGAGCAGCTTTTGACGAAACATCACTGATCCTTCTGAGCATTTGTTTAAGAATGCAACTGAAGTTGCGTTGCAGTTAAAAAGAGGGGAAAAAAAGTGAAATGGAAGGCAGTTGCTTTTGTTAGTAGGTGATAGTACAGGTTAACTAAAAAAGCCAAAGCTTTTTTTTTTTTTTTTGGAAGTTGCTATAAAGGAATCTGACTTTCTAAAGTCTCCAAAGGTTGAGACATCCAAAATGAGACATAATCAGTTCCCTGCTATTCCTCCATGCAAGCCCACAGCCACAAACAGACTGTGGTTTATAGCAGCTACCAAAGAGGAGAGGCAGAAGAGGGGCAGTTAGAGTTTGGCAGCCAGAAAAAACCTATGTAGTCCTACCAGGTAGCAGATATAAGATAAAATTGCACGTGTCTAGCAGGGGGGGATGTTAAAACAGCCTTTGTTATACGCGCATGCTGTAAAGATCAGATCTACACCAATACTGAAGCAGTGAGAATTTAGATACAAAACTAATGGCTTTTTATGGCACTTCAAGTCCTGCAGTCCATTGCTATGACAGACTGGAATTACTTGAATTGAACTCCGAGAGCATATTTTGTTTCCTGTCCTGTAAAATGAAAGCATTTGAAGAGCGTGACACAGATCTCTACCATGCCTTCCTTCTATATTGGTCTTGGCATATTTCTGTGCCTATTTACCATCACTCATAAATTTATTCTGTATGCAGGGAAGCAGCACTAGAATCATGAAATTATAGATTAAATGAGTAATTCAGTTTTCCAAGCCACTATTTCAGGAGGTCTCCAAATTCAAGTAGATGTTCCTAAATCAATGACTGAAGTATGAATGTTTCCTTGCATCACTAGTTAGATTTGAATAAAATGAACTTAATTTTGGATAAATTTTTTTGCTAATTTCATGCCTCTTCTCCATTTGCTGTTGTGTTTATGGAAGGACATATGCCGTATATAAAACAAATGAGTCATGTTAGTCAATAGAGTCATGCCTTCACCCCTGCCTCATGCTACAGTGTTAGTCTTTTCCTGATTCGTTAAGACGGAACATAATGGTTTTTTTTTGACGGCTGTTATATGGAGTTAATGCAGTCTTCCTTGGGTAAACTTTGCCATATCCTTAGTAAGAAATATGTAATCCAAACTATATTAAGGTACCTCAGGGAGTGTTTCTATCAAATGCAGAAATGCACTGCTTTGGGGCTCACTAAAAGCTTTGGTCTAGGCTAAAACTCCCCTTTGTCCTGAATGGTAAAGTAGTTTTCTTAATTATCAATTCAAGCTGCCTTTTTTTTTTTTAAATTTTTGACAAGAAAACTTTGGTCCATGCCTATGAGTGCTGTTCAGCTGGTACTTTACTGCTGTTTCTTACAGTGATTTAATGGCAGTAAGGAATAAAGGAGTTGGACAGTGGTAGCTCCTGATAAGCTCAGTAATATTTTTGTAACCGATACCAAGCCCAGAAGATAAATGCCCTTGTTTCTGAAAAACATATACTGAGATTTCTTTAAGATAAGCAGGTTACTAAACAGGCTTGGATTGCTGGTAGCTACCAAAGGACAAAGGGAAAAGACAAGCATTTCAGATGAAAATAAAATGTTTAAATATACTTGAAAAAATCAAAATGGCTAAAAATCTGGTTTAGGCAACAGAAACAGAATTCAGAGTTGTACTGTGAATACTGCAAAAATGTACAGAGATGAAGTCCGTGAACAGAGAACACAGATCTCAGTTATGGCAGCTCAATCCACGTGTCAGTAGGATATATTTAAAAATGTGCAGTCAAGTGGAAGTGCAACACCTCACTTTGGTCCTGAAAGAATTTAACAACGCTTTTAAAATATGGAGCAGCAGCTTCTTCCTGTTATGTGTGATAAAACTGTATGTAATGTTCTTAAAAAGACCCAGAATACGCATGCCATGTTCTATTTGTTGTTTATGGAAAGAGATCTTGTCCCACTGCAGTCACGCTGGCTTTGGTAAGACTTGGATGACAAAATATGGAACATCTTCCATTCTCCTGAGAGAACTTATGAGAAATGGATGCCTTCTGAATTGAAGCCATGCAGCAGCCTGAAAAAATGAAATATTCATGTTACAGTTTCTACTAATTTATACTTCAAATAAAATAATTTCCAAGCCACGCTGGTAAAGAGCATAGGACAAAGAAAGAAAGCAGTCATAAAAACTACTGTTGCTGTTCAGCTGCTATGAAGAATTGTTACAAAGCTTACATCAGAGATAATTAGCAAGTTGTGCAGATTTAGAAATGCAGATACATTTCCAGTGCGGTTATTCATACTGCATCCTACCAAATTTACTACATTTCTTAAAAGAACAGTAGCTGCACTAATTGTTACACTAATGAACAGCTAGGAATTTTATCTTGAATTAGAAGATGATTCATATTGCCAATGAAATTAACTGACCAGAAGGAAGATCAGAATATAGTAAGTCACATAACTAACATTTCCAAATTATGCTGTAGATTCTAATCCTCAAGAAAGATAAAAGAGAAGGGTTGTGCAAGTCACTTACAAAATCTGTCATAACCAATGTTGTTATTAGAGCCATTTTTAGAGGGGATGTAGAAGTGTCTAGTACATGAATCACAGAAGTAGGGATCTTAAGCTAATTGCTTCTCAATATTATAAGCAGCAGTATATATAAAGAGAGAAAGAGAGAGTGTGCGTGCGTGGCTTTCTTCATGTTCAAGACTGGAAGCAAGGAGGGTGTGGTATTCAGAGGATACGAGAGAGAGTGTTGTTCCTACCTAACGCAGTATTAACCTGCTCTGTGTAGGTACAGATGCAGACAGAACTGGGAGAAGCTCAAAAGGAAGGCATAAAGAGAACAGAATTACCTAATAAAATCATCTATATCCATTGAACGGGCTCGTTTTTCAGAGTAGCCTGTATTTTTTAAGACTGTCTGTATTTTCTCTGCAATTTTGAAATTTTCTGGTATTTCCTGTCAATAGAAGATATAAATTAGTTTTCCATTCATAGCATATAAAAAGGTTAAAGTTAAATTGTCTATTCTTTTCCTGCTTTTAGAAGAGTTTTTGTTTCAAGTGATCTAAGTAAGTTCTCTTTTTTTCCTTTTAGGATTAATATGTCCTTGTGCCTAGATTTTTATACCTCTGCTCATTCACTGTAAATGAATCACCAACAATATGGTCAGACACAGAAGAGCTTCTTAGTAGGTACTGGAAAAAGTCAGTCCCGAGACGTTCACAACCAATACATTAACAATATCCTCAGTTTTCATTTTTTGCACTGTGTTTTAGAAACACTTTTAGATTTTTCTTTGAAGAATGGAGTTAGGTTCTTCCCTACCCCAAACTCTTTTGAAAAGGTTTTAACATTTTAAGCTTTTCCATGCTCATTTTTTTTACTCTTATAGATGTTAGTATTTAGGTCATATTGCACAGAAATCGGATTTAATACATTAAAAAGGCACTTACCGTATTATGCAAGGAACAATGAATTCGGTAATTATGATCCAACAACTGCTCTACAGCACTTGATCTGAAAGAAATGCAAGTCTAGAGTGAAAACTGATTTTTAACTAGTTCTTTTGACTTGAGTGGTTGTTAATCCTTACTATGAAAAGAAACTGTATTGACTACGCAGAGCTGTTCATTTGAAACAGCTGTCTAGTAAAGAGTTTTCTTCCGAAGGTTTCACTTCAGAAGAGTTTCTAACATCAGCATAAATTCTCCATTATTATTTATCTCAGACTGTTCCAGCATCTGCATTACAAGCCTCTAAGAACAGAACTCATTTCAGACCAAGGCTGTAACACTACTAGGTATTTGCAAGAAAGGTTAACTGGACAGACTCCAAAACTTTGGAGAGCTGCCTTCTAATAGAAATTACTTACTTAAATGCTGCAGAGAGCGTCTTGTTTTTCCTAACAAAGGCTATCCTCACCAGACCATCCCATTCCTGAAATTAAAAAGTATACAGTGTTTCCTGAAAGGAGTACACAGCTGCTACAGAAAGTTCAGAACAAACACTACTGACAATCTCACAACAATAACACAAAGAACATCGTTTTAGGAAAATATCTCTCTAACCAGTAAGACAGTGCTGTCTTGTGCAACGCAATAAAAGTAAAGGAGAAAATATATCATTCACAAAGACTTGTGAATTGTTCTGTTTTGAGGATGGGCGCTATCGGACAGATCTTACGTGCTGAGAAGGCAGGTAGTTGAAGAAAATCTGATTAAATTTGGGCTAGGCTGGAATGGTCCTGAAGATCAGACCATTTGAAAAACTAAGACGACTATCACGTAACATCTGTCTTCAGAGACTATACACAATCACCTGAAGCTGTGAGTTCTCATAGACAGTCCTTTGCTCATAAGCAATAGTCATGTCATCAGCCAGAACAGTCTCTTGGAGGTACAAAGGGTAATGAAAAGGACATTATTACTAGCAACTCTCCTATTGACATGAAGATGGTACCTTTGCCTCCTAAGTGCTGTAAGAAAAGCTGCACCTGAGTTGATGGGGGCACATTCTTCAGGTAACCGTGCTAATGCAAACCCGATCAAGAGGGGGAATAAGTATTTTGGAATTCTGTAAATGTCAATGGATAGCTGGTACTTAGTATTGTGAAGACAGCATGTCGAATTCCGTAAGAAATGAAATGAAAAACAAATGAAGTACTACTACTGCTATGTTACTAGATATGGTTACTAGAGCGTATAATGTTCACCTGAAAGTTGATTGGTGGTGGTGGGTTCCTTGGCTCTATTCTGACAACACTGGATTCAACTTTAGGAGGGGGCCTGAAGTTGTTCTTTCCAACCTGTTAGTCAGGAGAAGTTAGGCAGCTGTAAAATTTAGCGGCAAATCCTGACATTCTTAAAAACAACATTCTTCTCTGTATGGTAAGCGGTAGCTAACACAGAATGACGTACCTTCATCAGATGGTCCACACGAGCTAATAACTGAGTATTAATAGAGAGTCTGCAGTATAGTTTAGTCCCTGGTTTTGCAACCAAACGAAGTGCAAATTCTCTTTGAAACATAAGTATTGCACACCTGAGAATTACAGAAATGAGCAAATGAATCTAAGTCTTCACAGCTTTTAAGTCAAAAGCCAACTAAACACAGCTTTCCCCTCAATGCTTAGAAGCAATAAAAGTCTTGACATAAATGCACACTCTGCCTTAATCATCTTAGTACTACCAGTAAAACTAGCAGTTCAATGAGAGAAATCAAGAACCACTGACACACTGAACTACACACAGACGTACCTAGCCAATTATATTTTTAACAGACTAGACAATAGGTTCAACGTTACCATCCTTACTTCCTAAAGTAGGAAGGCATTTGAAATGTTAGATGCCCTGCGTATCCCTGGATGCCCTGGAATAACAAATAGTTACTATAGTAGTGTGAACAGGTGCAAATCCTGGTTTTCATCAGTTGCACAACTCACTAATGCCAAGACTAAATTTTCCCATGCTTAATACTTCAGTATAAGCTAATTTCCAGGCATTGGCAACTTACAGATTATAGAAAACTTCTGGTGTGGATCTGATCCACAGAAGTAGTATTTTATGAAGTAAATAATCTGATTTGGGATTATTTGTAAAATTAATCTTTTCAGTTAGAAAAGCCAGCGATCTATTCTTCTGCATACCTGAAAAAAGGTCTATGAAGCAACAACTTGAAAACAAAGGGTGAAGAAATCTGAGGAAAAGAATAATATCATTAGTATGCCTTCTGAGGCATCATTAAAATAAATAAATAAATAAACAAACGCCACGCTCAGATTGTTTTGTCCATACCTGATAAGGCAAGTTAGCTACACACGCATCAAAGAATGGTAAGTCTGTTTTCAACACATCTCCAACCTTGATTTCAAGTTTGTTTGCCAGACACCTGTGGGGAAAATACAGAGTGGTTATCTCCCGATAGGCATGTTGCTGAAGTTTTTGCCAAGGCAAACACTGCTTTAAGCACTCTTTATTTCCGCTGTTGGTACTTACGTGCCCTGGACTCTCTTCTGAAGTTCGCCCACAAGTCTAGGGTCAATTTCACAAGCAATAACCTGAAAACAAAGTATATATTTGCAATTTTCTACATGAACTCTTTCTAATTGAGATTAGTACTTCAGCTGCAAGAAACTGTGAATAACTATTGCTACAGAATTAAATAATTCTTACGTATTTCCTGTTAGGCTATGCGCTTCTTCTATCCCAAAATATAAAAGGCTTATCATGTAAATGGATGACAGCAATACAGTTCGACATTATTTACATGAACATAGTCAGAAATTCCTTTGAGTTGTGTAAGTTTTAAGAAAAAAAAAACACAACTGATTCTGCTGCTTTGAGTCAGTTCACAGAACATCTTCCTGTTTGCTTAATAGTCTAAGCCAAAAAGTCATTTTGGGTATGTCAGGGAGGCGGGGGGGAACATAACACTTACTTTTTTTACTTTCTCTAACATTTTCACTGTCAGATTACCGGTTCCAGGGCCTACTTCCAGAATGACATCTGTACGTCGTAAGGCAGCCTAGGAACAAATGGCATCTCACCATTTTTCTAGAATTGATTCCAAGCAATCATTTACTTTTAAAATGAAACATACATGCAGCTCAATAAAAGGCTAAATTCAGCTAACAGCGGTGCAAGAATGTCATTTAGAAAAGGAAGCAACAGAAATAATGAAAACAAGAGTGTCCTGGGCTGAATACAGAAAAAAACCAAATAGTCTCATTCTAGAAAATGCAACAATGTAAGAACTATAATATAGAAAGAAGGTCCCTTCAAAAATCACAAAAAAGGATACTAATTCAGAGAACAGAACACTGCATTGAAGTGTGTTTTCCAAACAAAACTCCAAACTGCTGTACAAGGTGTACAGGAAGCTGATATTCTAGAGCATAAGGGAAAGCATCCAGTTGACAACCCAGAGACCAGCTCTCAAGCCAATCATTTCATTCACTCAGCTAGCAGCATGCTGAATAAAATTCTCAGCTCTAGGGCTGGCAACTGCTGCATGCATATTCAAAGCAGCAGGCTTTTCCCCATCACCTATACATGAATCTTCTGAATCCCTTAATATTATTTTCAAAGCTCAAGGTCAGCTGTCATGTAACAACAACTGACAAAGACTAACTATTTAGATTCTTCAAAACAGACGTGCGATACTGAGATATAAAACTGCATAGTGATTACTTAAACTATGCCATTGTTAAAAGTTTTAATTAGTATTTCAGACCACGCAGGAACATTTGCTTCAGAAATGAAGTCCAAAGTCATACTGCTGCGAGAGCTGAGGTCACCAGGGCAGCAGCCACCGACCTTCTCGATGATGCTGTTGACGATGAGCGGATTTTTCAAGATGTGCTGGCCAGCCCCGGTGTTGAACAGAATTCCTACAGCCAAGGACAACCAGAGCAGTAAAGTTACCGACGGTGAAAATATATCAAGGAGAAACTTAGCAATAAACCTTTCTATAAGGAAGTAAGTGTTCATACACCTACAGCAGCCGTTCACGCTT